AATCCCGAATGTGATCACGGATATGACGAGGAGCTCCAGAATGGTCCAGAGGTAAAGATTGATATATGGGATAATGGTGTTTGGTCTCCGGAAGGGTTCCCTAGTTCACCGGAAGGGGTTCCGGATGTTTCCTGAAATGTTTGGATACAAGAACACTTTATTTGGGCCAAAGGGGAAAGCCCACAAGGCTTTTGGAAAGTGCAAAAGGAAGTTTTGCGAAGACCAGAGGCTAGACACCAGGAACCCTAGCGTCTAGCCCTAGAGTCCGAGTAGGACTCTTGCCTTTCGGGCAAAACCGACTTTTAGGAGGCTTTTACTCCAAGTTTCGACCCCAGGGCTCAGCATATAAATAGAGGGGCAGGGCTAGCACCCAAGACACGTCAAGTATCACCAAGCCGTGTGCCGGCAACCCCGTCCCCTCTAGTTTATCCTCCGTCATAGCTTTCGTAGTGCTTGTCGAAGCCCTGTGGAGATTGTTCTTCATCAACACCGTCACCATGCCGTCGTGCTGCCAGAACTCATCTACTACTTCGCCCGTCTTGCTGGATCAAGAAGGCGAGGACGTCAACGAGCTAAACGTGTGCTGAACGCGGAGGTGCCATACGTTCGGTACTTGATCGGGACGGATCGTGAAGGTGTACGACTACATCAACCACGTTGATAGACGCTTCCGCTTTGCGATCTTCAAGGGTATGAAGATGCTCTCCCCCTCTCGTTGCTATGCATCTCCTAGATAGATCTTGCGTGATCGTAGAATTTTTTTTTTGAATTACTACGTTCCCATCAGCTTCTTGTGATGTTGTATTACCGAGAGGGCTCAGCGATACTGAAGAGGCACTTCTCCGCTTTGGGTTCAAGCTTATGAGACTGAAGCCTTTTGACATAAGCGTCGCATCCCCAAACATTAAGAAATGACAACTTAGGTTTCTTGTCAAACCATAGTTTATACGGTGTCGTCTCAACGGATTTAGACGATACCCTATTTAATGTGAATGCAATTGTCTCTAATGCATAACCCCAAAACGATAATGGCAAATCGGTAAGAGACATCATAGATCGCATCATATCTAATAAAGTATTGTTACGACGTTCGGACACACCATTACATTGTGGTGTTTCAGGTGGCGTGAGTTGTGAAACAATTCCACATTGTCTTAAATGAAGGCCAAACTCGCAACTCAGATATTCACCTCCGAGATCAGATCGTAGAAACTTTATTTTCTTGTTATGATGATTCTCCACTTCACTCTGAAATTCTTTGAACTTTTCAAATGTTTCATCCTTGTGTTTCATCAAGTAGATATATCCATACCTATTCAAATCATTTATGAAGGTTAGAAAATAACGATACCCGCCGCGTGCTTGAACACTCATCGGACCGCATACATCGGTATGTATTATTTCCAGTAAGTCATTAGCTCGCTCCATTGTTCCGGAGAACGGAGTTTTAGTCATCTTACCCATGAGGCGTGGTTCGCAAGTATCAAATGATTCATAATCAAGTGATTTCAAATGTCCATCCGCATGGAGTTTCTTCATGCGCTTTACACCAATATGACCTAAACGGCAATAACACAAGTATGTTGCACTATCATTATCAACTTTGCATCTTTTGGCATCAATATTATAAATGTGTGTCACTACGATCGTGATTCAACAAGAATAGGCCATTCACTAAAGGTGCATGACCATAAAAGATGTTACTCATATAAATAAAACAACCATTATTCTTTGACTTAAATGAATAACCGTCTCGTAATAAACAAGATCCAGATATAATGTTCATGCTCAACGCTGGCACCAAATAACAATTATTGAGGTTTAAAACTAATTCCGAAGGTAGATGTAGAGGTAGTGTGCCGACGACGATCACATTAACCTTGGAACCATTCCCGACGCGCATCGTCACCTCGTCCTTAGCCAATCTTCATTTATTCCGTAACTCCTGTTTTGAGTTACAAATATGAGCAAACGAATCAGTATCAAATACTCAGACGCTACTACGAGCATTAGCAAGGAACACATCAATAACATGTATATCAAATATACATTTGTTCATTCCGCCATCATTCTTATCTGTCAAGTATTTGGGGCAGTTCCGCTTCTAGTGACCACTTTCTTTGTAGTAGAAGCACTTAGTTTCAGACTTGGGTCCGGCTTTGGGCTTCTTCATGGGAGTGGCAACTTGCTTGCCATTCTTCTTGAAGTTCCCTTTTTTTTCCTTGCCCTTTTTCTCGAAACTAGTGGTCTTGTTAACCATCAACACTTGATGCTCCTTCTTGATTTCTATCTCCGCCGATTTCAGCATCACGAAGAGTTCGGAAATTGTTTTTGTCATCCCTTGTATATTATAGTTCATCATGAAGTCTTTGTGGCTTGATGGTAGTGACTGAAGAACTCTATCAATAACACACTCAACTGGAAGATCAATTCACACTCAACTGGAAGATCAATTCCCAGGTGAGTCAAGTGGTTGTGGTACCCAGACATTCTGAGTTTGTGTTCACTAACAGAACTGTTCTCCTCCATCTTACAACTAAAGAACTTGTTGTGGACTTCATACCTCTCAACCCGGGAATTAGCGTGAACTAGTTCCGCAATTTAAACTAGTCGGTAAACTAAAGTTGTACATAAAAAATATATTAAGACACTTGTCAATAAAGTGAAGTTATACTTCAAATATATATTAAGAATTAAGAAAATTTCATATGACGTTAGTTAATAAAACTGTTTATTTTTTGGTGTTAACCTTGCAAAAGTGACATGATAATACAGAATTACACTCGAGTTCACCACACAGAACCCTTCGACGACGATAACGTACGCAATCACCTCCTCCCCTAAGAAAAGCATAGGGTTCCTCCGCCTCCTGCCGACGCCGGCGCCGGTCCGCCTCGTCTCCGGTGGCCTTACGGTCATAGCGGCGCGGTGGATCCTGGCCTTTTCCGGCGGGAGGGCTCTGTTTTCAGATGTTTCTTCGAGTTTTGTTAGTGTTTGTGTCATGCTCAGGAACACGGTTATGTCCTGCTCAGGAAGGCAAGACGACGACACCTTCCTGAAGATGGAATATGGTTCTCCCTCCCTAGTACGTGTCTTGGTGATGTGTCTAGCGTCATTAGTGGGCATATGAAGGTGTGTCTCCGGTGGATCTGTTCTTGGTGGATTTGCTCATATCTGGTCGTAATTTGTCTATGTTCGTGTGTCTTCAGGTTGGATCCTTCCATTTACGCTACTCTTCATATGCGGCGTTGTTGTTCGGTTGTCCTGATCCTATGGGGCCTTAACACGACGACTTCCCGACTATCTACTACAATAAGTTTTGCCTAGCTTCGGCGAGGGAGGGGCGATGACTGCGGTGCGCCTTCCGTTCGCTTCAATACTTATAGTCATCGCGAGGTGGTCTATGAATCTGGATGTAATTTTTATTATTTATGATGCTTGTTGTATTGCCATTATTAAAAATGAATAAATCGGAAGTTTTAAAAATGAACAGATCGGAAGTTTTTTTGAAAAAAAAAAACCTTCAACTAGTTATATATGTCTACATTCTGTGTTGATTTTTATGGCCAGCCCTCCACAGTTTCGAGGCCATCTCTTGTCGGAGATCTGCCTTAGCTTGCTATCGCACCTTTGAGCTCACCATGAGACTAGCTACCTTGTTGCTTAGGCTCAGTTGTGTTGTTGCAGGGTCAGGGCCACAAGGCGAAAAGACGAAGAGCAAAGGAAAGGAAACAGGAAGACAGAATTTGTGTGCATCCCGTGGAGTGGCAGGAGGTTGGGGCCTTTCCTCTCGTTGTATTTTCTCGGTTTAACACATTTTCTCTCGTTTGAGAGTGTTACATTATGTTAAAACAACACAAATTTTGCTGAAACCGAAAAAAGGCAACGTGAATCTCAAAGCAACATCTCATGCATGGTAGAAAAACCACTCCCATATTCCCTCCCCACCGCCCCGCTCTCCACACTATGTTGTATCAGTGCTATGGGTGTGTTTGGATGCTGCCCAAGCTAGCCCTGCCAACCCATGGGTGTGCCAAAACATTGGCGCAGAATTCCTCCGCCCGCGACTTGCCCAGAAGTTGACGAAAAATTGAACTGAGAAAGCTAGCGTGGTCAGGGCGAGCCAATTTATTGGCACTCATCCAAACAAGCGCCCACGCCTGGTCAACTACCAACTTTTTGGCTGGGCTGCTCTTGGCTCCAATCCAAACACGCCCTATATACCCTTCCGTTCCCTTGGTTGCAAGGATGTGCATGCTCTAGGGCCATCGAATTCGGTGGGCAAAGCTTCGATGCTTAACAGGTAACTAGTACGTTCAAAATATAAGACGTTCTTACAGTTTAATTTGACTGAACTGCAAAAACATCTTGTATTTTGAGACGGAGGTCGTGTTTTGCTAGTGACGTTGAGAAACAACATCAACCTAGCTACGAGGGTTGTTTACGTTTGACACTGTCACGTCAGTAAATGAGCATCTCGTGCATCGATAGAGGCAGCAAAAATGAAAGCATTTGTGTTTTCCGCTGCTGAACACAAAAGTGAAAGCAATTGTGAACATATTCAGATTTCAGGCATCAGCGCTCCTCCATCTCCACAAGCACAGGCTTCAGCAATCAACACAACAAGGAGTGGAATCATCCCAGAAACATCAAGCTGCAATGAGGCTGCCATTTTCAGGATAATTCAACCCAGAGCCAGGCTCAGATGAGCCGGTGAACAGTACCGCAATTTAAAAAGAAAAAAAATTCAGAAAATTTCAATTTCTTTTGTGGTGCAAGATGCTCCTGTGCGTGAACTCCGTGCAAAATTTTGTGAAGTTTGGACACTCGAGGAGCTCGTGGCAAAAAAAAAATCAGGCGTGAACAGTGCGATTTCAAAAGTTTCTCAAACATCCGAAATTTGTCTCTTTTGCCACGAGCTCCTCGAATGTCCAAACTTCACAAAATTTTGCACGGAGTTCATGCACAGGAGCATCTTGCACCCAAAAAAAATTAGAATTTTATGAACTTCTTTTCCCTTTCAAATCGCGGTACTGTTCACGCCCGGGCTCATCTGAGCCCCAGCACCAAATCGCCGCTCTCCCATTTTCATCGCTAATAACAACTCCAATAGCTCCCTGGTCATCAGTTGCCTTGAACGCAGCATCAACATTCAGTTTAACGGCTCCAGGAACAGGAGGGTGCCATTTACAGTTCATCTTTTGCCTCACTTGATCCATGTTGTTTCTATTTGAATGCAGTAGATCTGCAGCAACATCTCAAGCCCACCTGCATGCAGAGGTTAATTTCATTGGGACTTCGCCCTGGACCCTAGTGGCGACCATTGCGTACTGTCCAACTGGACCACATCTTCCTTTGAGCAGAACGTTGTATCCAGCAGGACTCGACACCAGGTACTACTAGGATGGACTCTTGGCATCTTCATCCTGTGCATCTTGATCTTGACTCCAACCGGTTGACAGCCTCTGTTTCCTCAACTATGAGCTCCACGCCTACTTTGCATTTTGCACACCTTGCAACCAAGTAGTATGGGACTATCTTTTCTGTCTGTACTGGATTAAAGTGAAGCATTGTGATCACCACCGCGGCAGCTGCCCTTAGATGATCTACGACCAGGATCTCACCTTTGCCAAACAGGTTGCTTTCTCCTGCAGTTGCGTTTTGGCAGAAAATATGCCTTCGTGGTCCACATTTTGCACTGCGTCATTTGTTTTCAGCAAGGCTGATTGTTTATATCATCACCAAAAATGAGGAACTACAAACTGATTGCTTCTTAAATCTCTGCCACCACACCACGCAACATCATCACAAGGTACTCCTCGAGATCGTCTTCGAGCAGCGCCCCCTTCCTTTCAGCATTTGCAACAAAATCACCTCAACATAGTCCTCGTCATTACAAATACTGCTGATCACTGAACTCCATGTCTCAACATGTGGAGGCATCCCAAGATCAAGCATCCGACTCATCATCCTAGCAGCCTCCTCTACCTTTCCCACTGTGCAACACCCCTTGATCACCGAATGGAACACCGAAAAATGTGGTACAATCCCTTTACCCACCATATCTTCCAAGTATGTCTCTGCCTTGGCAAACAACCCACTCACGCACAACCCATTCACCACCGCTGCATACGACGCTGCATTCGGTATGCAGCCACTATCCGTCATATCACCAATCACCTTGCAGGCATCCAGTGGCCGCCCCTCACGGCACATTCCGACGATGACGGTGTTGTAGTGCACAATGTCAGGCGAGACCCCGCGGCCTCGCATGAGGCACAGCAATCGGTAGGCCTCACGGAGCTGCTTCTTGCGGCAGAGGGCGTTGAGCACGGTGGTGTACGCCAGAGGATCGGCAGGGATGCCCCTGTGCAGCATTTCGTCGAGCAGGGTAGTGGCAGTGCGGACCTGACCACGGCGGCAGAGCGACTGGGTAAGCATGCGGTAGGTGTGGGCGTCTGGCGACACGTGGAGGGATCGCAGGCGGTGGAAGAGCGAGAGCGACACGGCGAGGTGGCCGGAGCGGGCGGCGGCCTCAATGAGCAGGTTGTGGGAGGCGAGGACGAGCGGCGCTGGGAGGGGGAGGCGGGAGGACACAAGCCGAAGGAGGTGGAGCGCGGAAGGGAAGTAGGCGGCGGTGGAGGAGAGGGCGGAGAGGAGGCGGAGGAGAAGCTGCGGGTGGAGCGACAGGGGGCTGGGGCCGGCGAC